CTCTCTCGTTGTCTTCATTACAGAAACACTGAGCAGAAGGGAGACTATTTTGGATGTTTTTTGGCACCAGCATGCATCAACTAGTCTTCTAAGTGTGAATGTTCACATGCACCCACTCCATCTGGCAGTACACAGCACAGCAGACTGTCCCTGTCACTGCCCCGTCTCTCTCTCTTTCAACATGCTGCAACGCAAAGACATGCAGAGGGCAAACGTTTGCTTCTTACCCAGGACCACCCACTACCCACCCCAGTCTCAGCACTGCCCTCTGTACTTTGGGCCCTTGGGGCTCTTTGATAGTCTCACAGGTGACATATGGGAGTCTGATTAGCATATGGCTGTGGGTTACAGTGTTCCAGAGCCCACAGCAGGACATGGTGGCAAAGGGAGGACTATAATTGATTCAGAATACTTTCTCCCTAAACACCGACAGGTAAAAAAGCTAAAAGAAAATCATACTGGCATATTTATGATGCATGGATTTGACTTTCTGCTGCTTCCATTTCTATATTTATTACATTTATCATGTATTCCTTGGAGCATGAGTGGTGAAAGCTACGTGGGTGAATACTAAAGGCTAAAAATGGGCAGGTGAGACAAACTAAATGAGTAAAAGTTGCAAGACATGGGAGGAGAGGAGTGTTGAAGTTACCGTGGGTGTTTTACCTGGTGATGGGGGCAGTGTAATCATTGCAACAAGTGTTGTTTTTGTGTTTTGTAGTGTTGTAACAGCTTGTTACAAATCTTTTCACTTTGCAGTTCAGAAGTGGATGTCATGGAGGGGTAGGGATGGGTACCCAATTCGGTACTTTTTAAGGTACCGACCGAATTCCACAGTACCGACCGAGCACCGATTCACGTCATTTCAAACGGTGCCTCGTTTCGGTACCCGTCCTTTATAACGAGAACTTGCCAAGACAGCTGCGCATGCGCAAGAGCGTTATGTCGTCGGTCCCTGCAAGCCAGTTGTAAACAGAGCAGCATGGTAGAAAGAACGCATGCTAAAGCTTGGGTCCTCTTCACTAAATGTGATGGGTAACTGGGTGATGATGAAACCAGCGACAACGATCTAAGTGAGACATCCTCATTTTAATCTGCTCCGGTAGGTAAATAAAATGTTTAAGATAACGTTACCTTGATATGTTAGCTTCCGTTTCGCTAATGGTGCGTTCGCTTTCTCCTTGGAACTCCGAATTTCCGACTAGAAGAACATAAACGTGCTCTAAAAATTGGCTTCACTTTACTAAATGCGACGGGTGATTGGGTGAAGATGAAACAAGGGACAACGATCTAAGTGTGAGGCATCATCGTTTTAATCTGCTCCAGCAGTTAAATAAACTGTTAAAGATAACGTTAGCTTGATATGTTAGCTTCCATTTCCACCGTTGTTATTAGTTAATGGTGCGTTCGCTTTCTCCTCGGAAATTCTAACTTCCCAGTAGGAAAAATCAAATGAAAAAGGACGGCAACAGGAATGAAGATACACAGTAAATTTAGTTCACAGTAAAGATGTTTGCTTCAGTTTAATTATCAGCTTATAAAACTACAAGGACGATGTTAAAATACAAACAGTTGAATGATATTTATCGTGATATTTATCAAATATTGTGATATATTGAGAAAAATATATATTATAAAAGAGAATTAAAATGATAAACACTCTAAAGTATCAAAAATTGGTACTGTTAAGTACTGGTATCGATTCCTAGGTACCGGGAATTAGTACCGAATCGATTCAAATGTCAAAGGTACCCATCCCTATGGAGGGGGCCATCGGCTTGAACACTGCTGCTAACCATTTAAACATTCTCCCTCTTCTGATAACATTTTACTTTCTTTGACACGGAATGTGCTACTACTAGTTTACCCGTTTAATTATAGATTCACTAGTAGAAATACAATAAAGTTTATCTCGTTTCTTAAAGCAGCTGAGGGCATTGTTGATCACTTTCAGCTGTATTGGTGTTCATGGACTTAATCACAGGTGCACGAAAGTGGCAACAATTACAAAACCCTCAAAACGGGACTGGTTTAACATTTAGAGGTCATTTCAAGTTTCTCCCTCTTGATCTTTTTTGGCTGGTTTTCCACTCGTGCTAGTTTTGGCTCTCTACTGGCAGTATGAGACGATTCCTTAACCCTCCAGAAGTTGCACAGGTTGTCCAACTTGTCCAGGATGGCGCCTCCACACGTGCTGCAGCAAGAAGGTTTAATGTGTCTCCCAGCACAATCTCCAGAACAAGGAGGAGATTTCAGGAGACTGGCGGTTATTCTCGGAGAGCTGGACAGGGCCGTAGAAGGTCCACAACCCATCAGCAGGACTGATACCTGCTCCTTTGTGTAAGGCGGAACAGGCTGAGCACTGCTCGTGCCCTACAGCATGACCTCCAGAGGGCCACTGGTGTGAATGTCTCTATCCAGACAATCAGGAACAGACTTCATGAAGATGGCCTGATGGCCCGACGTCCTGTAGTGAGCCCTGTGCTCACTGCCCAGCACCATAGAGCTCAACTGGCATTTGCTCAAGAACACCAGAATTGGCAAGTCCGCCACTGGTGCACTGTACTTTTTACAGACGAGAGCAGGTTCACCCTGAGCACCTGTGATAGGCGTAAAAGAGTCTGGAGAAGACGAGGAGAATTTTATGCTGCCTGCAACGTCGTTCAACATGACAGGTTTGGTGGTGGGTTAGTGATGGTCTGGGGAGGCATATCCATGGAGGGACGCACACATACTGCCTATGAAATGGTGCTCTGACTGCCATACGGTATCGAGATGAAATCCTTGAACCCAGACCCTACGCTGATGCAGTAGGTCCTGGTTTTCTCCTAATGCACGACAATGCCCGGCCTCGTGTGGCAAGAGTATGCAGGCAGTACCTGGAGGATGAAGGAATTGAAACAATTGAATGGCCTTCACGATCCCCTGACTTAAACCCAATAGAACATCTGTGGGACATTATGTTTTGGTCCATTAGGCGGCGCCAGGTTGCTCCTCAGACTGTACAAGAGCTCAGGGATGCCCTCACACAGATCTGGGAGGAAATGCCACAAGACACCATCTGTTGTCTCATTAGGAGCATGCCCCGACTTTGTCAAGCATGCACACAAGCTCATGGGGGCCACACAAGATACTGAAAAGCAATTTGAGTTGCAGAAATTAAGTTTTTGAAATAATGGACTAGCCTGCCACATCTTCATTCCACTCCGATTTTAGGGTGTCTACACAATTGAGCCCTCTGTAGGCTGATAACTTATTTCCATTAAAAGACTTGGCATCCTTTTGTTCCTAAGACATTGCCCTGTCATTATTTGTATATATATTCAACTTCATATTGAGATCTGATGTATCTAATGTGTTTCTTTAAAGTGTTCCTTTAATTTTTGTGAGCAGTGTAGTTTAAACGTGTTTTATGTTACCTAGCTGCAAACCCAAACCACTCTGCTACTGTTCGCTACTGCGTGTTTGGCAAAATATAATAACAAAAACAGATAAATTCATGTTAAAAAAAATGTTTTTGCCAATCGGGCTGTGAAATAGTTACACATTTTTATGTAAGTGGTCTTGAAAAGGTCTTAAAGTCTTGAATTTAACTGGAGGAAACTTGTAGGAACCCAGTTTCCACGCATTTAATTTCTTTCCAACATTGTTTTTGCAGTTCTCAATGCTAAGGATTGGTTTAGAGTTGTAGGGATGATGTACAGAAAAACAACTCAGACATTATCGGAGCTGTGACGAGCATCCTCCATCTGTCTTCCCTGGCCTTTCAGCATGCATACTAGAATCTCTTTGTTTGAAGTGTTCTGGCTCCACCTTCCACTGAACAGCCCTATAGGCAGACAGAGAGAGCGCTTCATGATCTCCCACACTCTGCTGTAAATCTGAGTGGTGGGATGTGGCCAAGCCAGATGCACACTGGGATACTTCATTTAAATATATTGTGTCACTGGAATATAATCAGACAGACTAATAAGACTGCAATTTTTCCCTCAGCTAAAACGAGACAATTTCTTCATAACTTATGCTAATTTGAGTTAATTTAATGGAAACGCAGAGCAGTCAAGTGAAAAATTATATTTGTCACTTTCCAGCTAATTTATGCTCATGGAAGTTGTAAATGTTCTTATTTAATAAATAATTTTCTCTTTGAACTACCGTGAAATGACTGTGAAGTTTTAAAAACACATGCCCACAACACTGAAAGGAAGGATTGCGCTCTTTATTTAATATTCTCATGTAAACGCAACTGTCCCTTTTCACTTTGGTTCACTTATGGGCGATTCCCATCTGTACCTGGTCAGCCCGGACCGGGTTGGGGCAGCCCGGCCCGAGTGATTCCTCACTTTCTTCATGTCCCTGCTCTGGAATGCGGACGTGACTAAGAGTCACGTCCGCATGCGGGCGGTCCCCAGAAATCGGCGGGAGAAATTGGCGCTAAGATGTCAGTGATGTCATATATCAGCAACCATTTGAGCCGCCCTGTGTTGATACGTGTGTAGTGTTGGAAACAATGGAGAACTTCGTGGTGTTATTTTTCATGGTTCTGCACTTGTGGCTCGTTTTGGGGGCCAGACTCCGCGCTAGACAGGCCGAAAGGCGTCGGCTTGGCCAGCTGAGGAGGGATGAGAGGAGGATTAAATCTGCAAAGCGTTGCCGAGTCATGCTGGAAGCCATTCTGAAGCAGTACGACAACAACGCAGATGACGCATCCTGGTAATTGGTAAAATTCTAATTCTGACGTGCGTGTTTAATACACTTCAAGTTAATAAAATGTTTCATTTGTTTTAGATGGCTATTTTGGAAGGCTCCAGCCGCAGACACGCAATCTGGTCACTCAACCGATCCTCTGACTGGTGGGATAATTACGTGCCTCGTTACATGGAAGCGCAGTGGTTGAAGCACTTCAGAATGTCTGAGGAGACGTTCATTTTCTTGTGCAACGAACTGCGGCCAGCATTGCAGCGAAAAGACACTTTCTTCCGTGAGTGTAGTGATGGGTCCAGCAACACCGACACACAGGCGCATGTGTCAAGCTCATGGAGCGAAACCTGTGTCGATCAGTGTCGATGCGTGTGTTGCTTTAAGAAAAAGTCACGTGACCAACACTGCTGCTGTGTCGCTCATTGCCGAGGCGCCAAACTGTGTTTATAAGGTATCGACTCTGCATCTGTCAACGGGATGAGTCGCCGCGAAAAAATTACCATTTCAAAGATAAAACAAGACATCCCTCTTTACATCAAGAAAATGGAGCCAGAGGAAAAGAAAAGTTTCTGCTGTATGGGATCATTTTGATCTTTTAACAGCAAATAAGGTACGTGTTTGTCTTTCCTTGTTTCTGCGCATCTGTCAGAGTTGAAAATAGCAATGTGACTGACTCTCAGTGTAAATTATTTATTTAATTTAATTAGGTTAAATGTCGGATCTGCTCAGCCGAGTTGTCTTATACAAATAAGAGCACTTCCTCAATGCTGAGACATTACAGAGTCAAGCATGAAAACGAAGAGGAAGCAAATACACCAAGAACGAACACAGGTAGACCTATATAGACACTGGGCGTGCTTTGTCACAGTTGTTTTACTAATATATGTTTTATTATTTTGAAATCTAGAATCTAGGAAGATTGCTCTGGACCAAGCAGTCCTGAATTTTATTATAAAGGACTGCCAACCCTTGAGTATTGTGGAGAGTGAGGGGTTCAGGGGGTTGATTCAGGCCCTTGATCCATCTTACGTTTTGCCAACCAGAAAGGTTTGTATACACAATGTCTCAGATAGCTGCTGTTACTCATGTAATATATACAGTGCTTAACAAATGTATTAGACCATCGTCTAATTTAAGGTTTATGACACAGCAAACAAAAATAAACACTTGTGATTCAAATATCATGCATGCTTGAATAATTTCTGTCCGGTGTGTCAGCTCACATTTGGGTATAAAACTGGATTCAGTTTTAAATTCCTACCTTCTATTCAACAGGGCAAAACACAGAGAACTTCATAGCTGGATGTTTTTCTTGCTTTAGTGACAGGTGGTCTAATTAATGTGTTAAGTACTAGACTAATTTGATTTTGATTCATTTTCAGACGGTTAAGGAAATGATGGCCAAAAAGCATGCGGAGGAACTCGAACGAGTAAAAAGGGAAGTACAGCAAGCTGTGGCAGTGAGTATAACAGCTGACATGTGGACCTCCTTGAACATGGAGGCTTACTTAGCTCTTACCTGTCACTACATCAATGATAATATGCAGTTCTGTACATCTGTGTTGGGAGTCAAACACTTTCCACAAAGTCACACTGCTGACAATCTGGCCCAAGTCAAAAGGGGCATGATGGACGACTGGGCCATAACAAATAAGGTAAGGTGTCTTGTGACCGACGCAGCACCAAACATGATAGCAGCAACACGAACTCTTCAAATTCGACATTCAATCTGCATTGCACACAAACTAAATTTAATAGTCAAAAAATCCTGTGATCAGATCCCTGAACTTTCATCCATAAGACACAAATCTAGGCAAATTGTATCATTCTTCAGATCCAGCACCACAGCAAAAGAGAAGCTAGCTCAAGTGCAGCAACAGATGGGACGGCCCACCTTGAAACTTGTCACTGAGGTACCAACACGTTGGAACAGCACATATCAGATGCTGTCACGGCTACATGATGAGAAAGAAGCAGTGTGGGTATCTCTTGCCTCTCTCCAAACAGATTTAACTCCACTCACAGCTGATGAGTTCAACATCTTAAGGGAAGCACTTCTTGGGCTGGCCCCTTTCCATCAGGCCACAGTGGAGTTGTCTGAGGAGAGGAGAGTTTCAGGATCAAAGGTCATCCCGATGATGAAAATGCTAAATTGTGCACTTGAGCGGAACTCTTTACATCTACACACACAAGCAGCCACACATCTCCATGACCAACTTAGACGTCGCGTCACAGACACTGCTTCCATTCTGGAGTCATTAAGTGTGTTGACCCTATCAACACTTTTAGACCCCAGATTTAAAACACTTGGATTTCGTAGTTCCTCCAAGTGTAGTGAGGCTGTCAATCGCCTGAAAATGGAGTGTGCTGCAGTAATTGGTCACACAACATCTGAGCCACAGCCTGGACCTTCATTAGAGCAGTTACCCACTTCAGGCAAGTTGTTCAGTATTATCAGTTTATTTTCACATTTGTTTTGTTGCTAACAAAAACTAAAACTTCTATGTATTTTTTATTATTTCAGATAATCTGTGGCAGCAGCTTGATCAAGAGGTTGGCAGACAAACCACCAATGCAACAGCTGACTCGGTCATTGAGGTCCAGCGCTACTTAGCAGAGGGAAACATTTCAAGACAAGAAGATCCATTAACATACTGGGGGAACCGGAAGACATCCTACCCACACCTTTTCCACCTGGCTTTACAGTTTTTGTGTACCCCAGCTTCTTCTGTGCCCTGTGAACGTGTGTTTTCGAAAGCTGGTGAAATAGTGTCCAAAAAACGTAATAGACTAAATGCCAACACATTGGATAAACTTATTTTTCTTAATAAAAATTTATAAAAATAAAAAAAACTTGAGTCAATGACACTGAAATGGGTAATATCACATTCACAGCACTGTCACTTTAATTGTCACTTGGTATCATTCACAGAATATTTTGAGGTGTATAGATTTTAAATTTAGAAGTTTAAAATAATAACTTATGAAGTAGGCCTACAATAGCTTACAGTGTATACAAGTATGATTAGGTCATTGAATCAGCGTCTGTTGTGTCTCCAGTATGTTGCCTGCAATGATATTTAAAGTCCAGTAGGTGTCATTATAGAGCAAAACAGCAGCACTGTGTCGACACAGTTTCAATACTATTTGGGGAATGTGCTGAAACGCTTCATGAGGCTTCATCTACCCATCACTACGTGAGTGTGTGCCTCTGAGGAAGATTGTGGCTATTGTTAAACAGAGCTCAAATATACTGGCCTAAACTTGCTTGTGTCTGGAGAGAACAAACATGACTGGAGTCTGGATGCAATGAGGACACTCAATCACTCGTTTATTGGTACAGGTGCAGCTTAAATAGGAGAGCACATGACATGATCACATGACAAACACACCTGTAAGGAATGAACAATAATTGGGAGCACCATCATCAGTCACTGAATCTGTTAACACCCCCAATTGCTCACACATTATTCACAATCAACAAAACAAAACAAAACAAACATAGGAACATCATGAAAACCAACTACATTGCATCTTCGCTTGGCTGCTCCCCAAACAGAAACATGGAAAAGGTAAACAGTTTCCCTTTTGTAGCTGGTTTAGTCATAAGGTCAGCTACCATCTGATCCGTTGTGCAATACTCCAAAAACACTTCACCATTGTTAACAGTTGATCTCACAAACTGGTATTTGATATCTATATGCTTGCACCTCTGTCTTTGAACAGGATTCTTTGCCAGCATATTTGTGCCCTGGTTATCTTCAAAGATAACAGGCAAATCACACTGATCATTTAGATGTTCAAGCAGTTGAGTCAAATACAAACACTCTTGTATGGTGTAAGCCAATGCAATGTACTCAGCCTCACATGTTGACAGTGCAACAGTTGGCTGCTTTCTGGTTTTCCAAGAAATCAGAGGACCATTCCTACATAGGCTAACACAATAACCAGATGTACTCCGTCTGTCATTTGTGTCACCGGCCCAGTCTGCATCACTGTAAGCTAACAAGCTTAACCCTTCACCACATTTCCTGTAACAGAGGATCTTGTCTTTTGTGCCTTTCAGATATTTCAGTACATGCTTTACAGTTATCTATTGCTTTTCTGTTGGCTCACTAAAATACTGTGACATCTTGCTGACAATATAACTCAGATCAGGTCTAGTGCATGTTGTCAGGTAGATTAGGCTTCCCACTGCCTCTCTGTATTTCCTGGGATCATTCAGTTTTTCATCACCATCAGTGTAATTTAATTTCAGTTCACAAGGTGTCGACCTGGGTTTACAATCCTGCATGTCAAACCTTTGAAGCAGTTTGCCAACATAACTGTGCTGTGACATAGTCACACTTCCATCACACTGGTAAAAGGAGATACCTAGAAAAGTTTTCAATCTTCCCAAATCTTTCATGTGGAACTCCTCTGCAAGCATTTCTTTAACAGCTTTTAAGGCTCTCTCATCACTAGCAGCAATAATCAAGTCATCCACCCATATCAATATTACTACTTTTTCATGTTCCGTTTCTCTTTTGTAAACACAATGGTCTGCTGGATTCTGTACAAAGGTGTGTTCACACAGATAGTCATGTAACATTTTATTCCAGTTTCGACCTGATTGCTTTAGCAATACAATGATTTCTCAAGTTTGCACACAAGTTTTTCATTTGTCTGAGACTTTACATCATATCCTTCTGGCTGCTCCATGTAAATCTCACAATCAATCGGTGCATGTAGGTAGGCTGTTTTAACATCCATCTGATGGAGAATCAGATCCTCCTGAGCAGCTTTCTGCATTAACACTCTAACTGGTAAGGTTAGCAGTAGGAGAAAAGGTCTCTCCATAATCTATACCCTTCTCCTGACTATACCCCCTTGGCAACATAACGGGCTTTATACTTGTCAGATCCATCAGCATTGTTTTTGATAGAATACACCCATCGACCCCCACTGCTTTCTTTCCCTCAGGTAGGGTGGTCAGAGTAAATGTGTGGTTATCCCTCAATGATCTAATCTCCTCATCCATTGCATCTACTCACTCTCTTGAGTTGGATGGAGCTACGGCTTCTCTGAAAGTTTGAGGTATGTTGGAAACCATCTTGTAGCAGTAATCAATGTTGATCTGAGCCTGATCCCGCTCCACCCCATAGAAGTCTGGCCTCCTTCTCTCCCTTCTAGGGTATCTCTGTGGGGAAACTGATTCTAGCTTGACCTCAGCCGGCTGCAGGCTTATCTGATCTAGGTCTTGCCTAGTCTCTGGGATGTCAAACTGCTTATGTTCATCAGGGTCAGGTCTGGTTGTACTACACTCTACACAAACTTCATCTTCATCAGACATGTCAACAGTCTCCTGTCCATCATTTGAGATGAACCTCACCAGTCTGTGTTTCATCACCTTTCTACTGTCAGGATAATAGACCATATAGGCTGGACTGTTTTTGTCATAGCCAACAAAAATACCTTTGTCAGACCTTGGGTCTAGCTTTTTCCAGTCCTGCCTATAGGCATAGCATACAGTACCAAACTTCTGCATCCTAGACAAATTGGGTCTCCTTCCTGTCAGCATAAAGTAAGGTGTCTGTCTGGTACGATTATTGAAACATCTATTTCTCACCACTGCTGCTGTCTGGACTGCATATGGCCATAGCTCCTTTGTTAACTGGCTTTCTAAGAGCATACATCTAGCCATGTCAAAAAGAGTTCTCCAGTACCGCTCAGCAGTACCCTTCTGGTGTGGTGAGTATGGTGCTGATGTCTCATGTCTGATTCTGTTCTCACGAAGTAGTGCTTGATAACTTAGCCCAGTAAACTCAGTACCATTGTCAGATCTGATACATGTTACTTTACCATATGGGGCTGTGTCAGCTAAGAACCGCTCTGTGGCTTCCACTGTGTCACTTTTGTTTTTCAGAAAGTACACAAACACTGCACTTGAGTAGTCATCAATAAAGAACAGAGCATACCTATAGCCTTCTCTGGACTTAGGCTCAATGGGGCCTGCCAAATCTGTATGCACCAACCCTAAAGCTGACTTGGCCCTCACATCAGGTTTCCTGTTCCTGCTCTGAGTGAACTTGCCTTGAACACACACTTCACATTGCATAGGCTTGGATACTTTGCCCTTTATTGACATACTGACTACAACGCTCTCTAACTTCTGAACATCGTCAAAATTTCAGTGTCCCAAAATCTCATGCCACGTCTGGATATCATAACAACTCATAGATGTATCATCACAGTCATTGTTCTGTGGCACAGTAGGCAAATAAAACAGGCTCTTATATTCATGAATGAGAAAACATGTACCGTCTTTGTACTGCAGGATGTCTTCACCCTACTTGAAGATCACCGTTGCCCCATTGGAAGTTGCAGCTCTCACAGAGAAGATGTATTGGGGATAAGTGGGGATATACAGTGCTTGTTTCAGTCTAGCTGCGAGGTGCCACCCCTTGTTGTCAACCAGGCACACCTTTGCTTCTCCTCTCCGCTCGGCAACCCCCTTGCACCTCGTGCCATCTGCCAGCTCTATGCAGTGCATCTCAGCCTGGAATGAGTCATCAAAACTCTTGAACTTGGCCAGGTCTGTGATGATATGCAATGTTGCACCGGTGTCAACCATCAACCCTTTTCTGGTGGCACCACCCTTCGATCGACGATCACTGGTCACCAGCTTGAAGATAAAGGTGTCGTCCATCTCCCCGTACACTCCACGTGAGTTATCTTGCTGCTGCTGTTTCTGTCCTCCCCGCCATGCAGTATTCTTTCCTTGGCTGTACCGCTGTTGACCACGGTGACACCGTCTTGCCTTGTGTCCTTTCTGGCCACAACGGAAACATTCAATTTCCTTGCTTTCAGTACCCCGTGCCCTTGCTTCTGCTGGAGTGCAGGCCTTCCTTGGTGATGCCCAGGCCCTTAAGACGTTGTCATCAGCCACAGCTGTGCAGATACTCTCAGTACTCTCATAACTCTGAAACTTTGTCTTAAAGTCTGCAAAAGAGAGAGTCTCTTCACTTTGAGTGATAAAAATGGAAAAAGGCTTAAATGATTCTGGAAGGCCCTTCAAAACCATTGCAACTAATAGTCCATCACTCAATATTTCTCCAGCATTCCGCAGCGCTGTGATTAAAGTCTCAGCCCGTATGACAAAGTCTGTCACACTCTCGCCGCTCATCTTTTGCAAGGCAGTGAACTCTGTGTACAGACTAACAATGCGGGGCTTCCCCTTGCCAGCATAATAGTCCCGCAAAATCTTGAGTGCACCACGCCCGTCATCTGCAGCCTCTCGCATGACCAGGGACAAACTTTTGTCATCAAGGAACTGAATCAATTCGGTATATGCTTCAGCATTCTTCCCTGCGTCCTCAGCCTGTACTTCTGCGTCCGGATCCTCATCAGGCCCATTTAAAATTGTGTCCTTCAATTTCTGCAACCACAGATGGCCCCAAAACTTTGTCTCCCACGGTTCGTAGTTTTTTTCATCTCCATCAAACACAAGTCGGGACCAACGTGAACTTGTCCTTTCACTCATGGTGGTAGTACTCCAAAAACTTGCAAACAAACTGGCTTGCAGTGGCTACTCACACAAACTTGCACAAACATCAATGAGACTGGGCCCATAACCTGTTAAACAGAGCTCAAATATACTGGCCTAAACTTTCTTGTGTCTGGAGAGAACAAAATGACTGGAGTCTGGAAAGGGTGGCACTCATTCATCTTGCAAGCTGTGGTTGATGGAAAGGGACTGTTTTGGAACGTCTTTGCAGGGCTTTCAGGGAGCATGCACGATGCGAGGGTACTGAGACTTTCCTCCATCTGGGATTTGGCAAGCCGTGGAAATCTCTTCCCTGACCATTCCATCCAAATTGCTGACATTGACTTTGGATACTGCATCCTGGGTGACTCAGCTTACCCTCTGCAAGACTGGCTGCTGAAACCATATACAGACACTGGGCGACTGACAGAGCAGCAACTCCTTTTTAACAAGAAGTTCAGCCTGGCACGTGTGGTGGTTGAAAATGCCTTTGGTAGGCTGAAGGGAAGGTGGTGCTGCCTACTTAAAAGGAATGACTGTGATGTCAGTCTGGTGCGTTCCATGATTCTGACCTGCTGTGCCCTGCATAATCTGTGTGAGAGCCGTGGGGAGAATTATGACATTGTGTGGACAACTGACACAGAATACCCTGAACCTGTAGCAGCACCACCACCGCCACAAA